AAAGAAAAAACTAAGAAGCAAAGAATTTGATTGGGATAGTGAAAATTACTGAACAGTATGAGTTAAAACAATCCCAAGGCCAGTGCATACTATTTTATTAGGAATGGCTCAAATAAGGGAGAAGCGGAAGGTACGGTTACAGATGTGACCACTTGCTGTTATGAAAGTTGAACCCACAGCAAACGATAAAAACAGAAATGATGTGAAAATAAATAAGGGAGGCTAACAAAACAAAAAGAGAGAGATTGAGAGCAATGTCAAGAAGGCTTTGATAGTAAAAGCAGTACAGGTTTGGGAGGACACTTGAGAGCAGTACCACACACACTTGCCCCATTCCCATGTTCCTGACTGCCTTCTTGTGACAACACTCAGTGACAGGACCCTGGGCTTAGGGATGTCCTTAAACTCAACCCGTAGAACCTTTCACACTCAAGTACCTGTGTACTTGAAGTACTTGAGTACCTGCGTGGCTCTTTGTCTTCATATTTGTCTGCTGTGTTTGCATGGTAAATCAGGATGAAAAGTAGGACTACGTGGTCTTAAACTGGATAGGAAGATTAATTTCTGGAAGGCTGTCATATACAGGAATAGATTTGGTGGATACCCTGAACTGGCATGTTGTTTATTTGTTTTCAGCACCGCGTGCACACGATCCTGAATGCGGATTTGGTCATTGTAATGAAGAGAGGGCTTATTTTGGAGTATGACAAACCTGAGGTTCTGCTGGAACAAGAAGACAGTGTATTTGCTTCTTTTGTGCAAGCAGATAAGTAATTTAAAAACATGAAGCATTTTAAAGTACAGCTGTATTATTCATTTTCTAACAATGTAAAATACCTATAAATGTAAAAATGTAAATACTATTTCATAATAAATCCGAACTTTTCCTTTTATAATAAAATGAGCAGTGTCTCCACCTGAAGCATTAATAAATTATCCATGTACCTTTCTTTTTTGTATACAACTATTCTTTTTTATTTTGCTACCAAAGAATCATGAAGTATTGTTGACCAAACCTGCACAGATGAAATATGACAAGATACAACATCAAACGGAAGCGTGGCCAGCATGGAGCTTTTGTGTAACTCATAAATCTCTCTTGTCATTTTGTTACTGTGTGATTTTATATGCATTGTAGCCCCACCATAGATAAAGCTTATTATTGACTAAATGCAGAAGGAAAAAATAATATACCAAAGGTATTTCTGGAAAGCTTATTTGCTCTTTTAATGATACGACTATGTAAAGCTTTAATATCTAAATATAAAATCTATAAAACATTTCATTGCGGTTCGTTGATACTACTTGTGTCTCTTGGTCTCTCCCTTAATGTCTTTAAAAAATTAATCACAATTTGATTTCTTCAGGTTTTCCTAGGCTGCCTTGCACCTACCCCTATTGAATTATATTATACTGATTCCCAAGGGCCAGACTCCCTCCCAGATAGCGAGGAAGCTAAGAGGAGGGAGGCTGTGATGAAGTATCAGTATTTAATGCACGCCGTTTCCAGATACAGCAGTTAATCTCTAAATTATCCCTCCAGAGTTGGTAAACAAAAAGCATTAAACCTTTCAGTGTAGCTCAGAGCCCTGGGGACTTGACTCATTCTCTGCTCCTTTCACATACTTGGCCCACCGATACTGTTTCTGGATTCCCTGTGATCCTTACCTATAAATTATGTACACTTAAGAAAACTTGTAATCACTGAAACTATCGTGGCTTAACTGGACAGCTGCTCCTGCCCTGTCACCTGACTGTAACATTCGTTCTAGCAGTTAAAATGGCAGAGTTGCAATGAGAGATTAAAAGGAATTCTTCGCTGGTATTCTTTTCACAGCAACTTTTGTTTCACATCCTTTTTTGTCCTTTTCCCCTTTTTGAAGAGCTCAGCATTTGGGAAGTGGATTGTGGATTGATTGTAGTTTTTTGTTTTTGTTTTTTGTTTGTTTGGTTGATTTGTGTGTGTGTGTGTGTGTGTGTGTGTGTGTGTGTGTGTGTGTGTTGTTCCTCTTTAGCCAAATGAATTAATATGGATGCTGTTTTAACAGTATTTTCTAGATGCACACTATCAAGAGATACATGATATTTATAATGCATTACTTCTCTTCTAGAACCACAGCAAAGAGCAGGGAAATGGAAGAACTGTTGCTGCTGTAGGAAATACTATTACCAGTTTCACAGGGGATGTGGTTTAGTGGTAAGACTAGAGAGGTCTGGTTGATGATTGGCCTCAGTGATCTGAAGGTCCAACCCAGATAATTCTATGCTTCTATTACTTGCTTGCTATCTAAGGGCTTTAAACTGGGCCCAGAGAACAGGAGAATGTGGCTTGTGCTAATACTACACTCGTGGTAGAAGTGGGGAGGCAGAACGCAGTTATGCAGATAAAATGCACGAGTTCTGTCGTCGTGACTGTAGATGGAGAAAACGGGCAGTTAAGAGAGAGCTCTTCTTCCAGGGTATCATTTTGCTGGGCAGCTTCAAAGAAAAACCAGCTGCTGAAGTATTGGTGTGTGTTCACCCTGAGGCACTAAGCACCTATTAGGCCTAGTGGGGGCAGAAATTGAAGACAGGTAGCTTTCCTTCCAGGGTAGCAGAAGGGCACAGCAAGTGCCAAGCAGGTTGCTACTGCAGCTACCCCACGGCTGCCCCATGCTGCACCACGTGTGCTGTCTCCTTCCTGCCCAGCACTGGCAAAAGGCAGGAGCTCATCCCATAAAGGCTTAGGAAGACACCATTCTGCAGAGCGTCTTGAACCTCATGCTGAACAGAGATACCCTCAGAAACTTTACAGTCATCTATGGAAGATCCCAGAATGAAAAGGCAAGAGGTAAAATACAGGACAGTGAGGTTTCATACACTTTTAAGAATGTGCCTAGGATCAAAGACTGCAATTTGGCATAGCTCCTATTCTACAGACTTGCATGGAAAGGAAGTGAGAAAAGGAGCCAACATATCATGGATTTTGAAAGTGGAAGACCATATTAGATCTTGAAGTATTAAGACATAAGATCTCAAAGAGGAAATGACTGGTTTCTGTTGTAAATGGAGCTTAGATGTCATAAGGCGTCACTGCAGGAAAATAGCATGGTAGAATTAGTTCATGCCCAAAGTTTATATATGTTCTTAATGGTAGAACGCTGCGGGATAAACGTGTGAACAAGATGCCTCTTAGCCACTGCTTGGCTGGAATACACTGCACGTTTCCTTAGAGTATTTTTACCTAGTCCCTTTATATGGGATCCAATCCCAGGGGTTTTCTGCCCCCTAACTCCAAAGGGCTGAAGTCTCAACAGTGATCAGAAGCCATCTCCAAGGAGGTTATTCTTTGGTGGGATCTGTAAAGCCCCAGAAGATGGAAGGCTCGCTGCTGTTATTGAGTCATTAAGCCTGCAGCATTGATAAAGATGGTCCAGAAGTTATTACCAAAGAAGACTCACAGATACGTTAGCAGGGCAATAAATCAAAGTGCTGTACTGAAATGGGAGCAAAGCAGCCCCAGAGCAGCAGCATGGCATGGGGGAACTGCCCCATCCAGACTCATTCATTTCTCTGGGCTGAGGCTTGGCTCGATCCCAAAGATACTGGTGGGATGGGCTGCTCATGGTGATGAAAATAGGGCTTGATCCACCCTGCTGGCATCTATAAATTAATAAAAATCTTTATAACTTTATCCCCTCATTTTACCATGGCAATATAAATTAGGAAAAGTCAATTAGGAATAGTTACTACAATTAGGAAAAGTTACTACAATTAGGAAAAAATGATAAGAAAAAAAAATTTTGAAATGTAAAACCTATTTTGAGGGTTCAAAAACTTACTCCTCGTGACTACCCCTCATGATTCTGTACACAGCCTTCAAGTATGGGGCTTTTCCCATGAGCCCAATTTGTCATGCAGTACTTAACACAAATATGTTGGCTCACACTGAAGATCTGTCACTTTTCTCTTTTAAGTATCTGTTACTTGATCCACAAAGACATGGCTTCTTCCATTCTGCTCTAGAAATTCTCCACCAGAAGCCACTTGCTTTACTGTCCTATCTCAGCCAACAAGAGGTGAAGGCAAGAGGAGGTAAGTGGAAAATGACAATCTCAATAAAGAACAGAAGTGGAAACAAGGGAACGCCCTTCTAGCCCTGTGGAGTTCGGGATTCCTAAACGCAGCGTGGTGCATTCACACAGCACACCTTGCTGCACTGGGCTGCACAGGTCGTGCCATCATCAACCAGGCTGTGAAGTGGTTCACCATTCGGTAACGTGTTAGAATCACAGAATCGTCTGAGTTGGAAGGGACCTTTAAAGGCCACCTGCTCCAACAGCCCTGCAGCGAGCAGGGACACCTACACTAGATCAGGTGCTCCAAGCCCCATCCAGTTGGACTTTGTCTCCAGGGATAGGACATTGAGCACCTCTCTGGATAACCTGTGCCAGTGCCTCACCACCCTACTGTAAAAAGCTTCTTCCTAACAACCGCGTTCTTTAAGCCTCTCCCCCCAAACACATTTTTTTGATTCTATATTCATGCAGTTGCCGCCCTCTGGAGGATAAGGTACAGAATAAGACGATGAGAAAAGAGAAGGGAAAAAAGGCACCAAAGGCACAGCTGCCTCTTGTGTAACTATTTCCATCACTGTGAGAGCGCAAATCGTCACCGCTGAGTACTGAGTGATGGAGCAGAGCCTCTTTACGGTCACTTTAAAACGCTGGAGACCGCTGCGAGCTGCCCTCAGGCGGAGAACCGCACTTTTCCAGATCTCCGGTTAACCCTTACGCCCGGGGCCGGGGCCGGCACCGGCCCTGGGGCCGCCCTACCGAGGGCGCGACCGCTCGAGCCCAGCCACGCACGCCGGCTCTCGGCCTCCTCAGCTCCCCCTGGTGGCCGCGGCCCGGCCCGTCACGTCCCCGCTGCCGCTCTGCCGGTCCGGCTGCGGCGGGGGCTGCGGAGGCGCCGTTCGCCCGCTCGGCCCCGTGGCGCGGCCGCCGCCCCCGCCCCCGGCCGGCAGCGGACATGGGGCGGCGCTGAGCGGCGGAGCGGCGGCGGGGAACCATGCTGTCGAGGAAGGGGATCATTCCCGAGGAGTACGTGCTGACCCGGCTGGCCGAGGATGTGCCGGATCACGCCCGGTACCGCGCCCGGGAGCGGCGGGCACGCTTCGTGGGCAAGAACGGGGCCTGCAACGTGGCCCACAAAAACATCCGGGAGCAGGGCCGGTTCCTTCAGGATGTCTTCACCACGTTGGTGGACCTCAAGTGGCCCCACACGCTGCTCATCTTCACCATGTCCTTCCTCTGCAGCTGGCTGCTCTTCGGCATGGTCTGGTGGCTCATCGCCTTCGCCCACGGAGACCTGGACCACGGCACCCGGCTGCAGCGCACCCCGGCCACGGAGATCCCGGACGGCTTTGTGCCCTGCGTGACCAGCATCCACTCCTTCACCTCCGCCTTCCTCTTCTCCATCGAGGTGCAGGTGACGATCGGCTTCGGAGGGCGCATGGTGACGGAGGAGTGCCCGGCCGCCATCCTGGTGCTGATTGTGCAGAACATCGTGGGGCTGGTGATCAACGCCATCATGCTGGGCTGCATCTTCATGAAGACCTCGCAAGCCCACCGCCGTGCCGAGACCCTCATCTTCAGCAAGCACGCGGTCATCGCCCTGCGCAATGGCAAGCTGTGCTTCATGCTGCGGGTGGGCGACCTCCGGAAGAGCATGATCATCAGTGCCACCATCCGCATGCAGGTGGTGAAGAAGACCTCCAGCCTGGAGGGGGAAGTGGTGCCCCTCAACCAGATCGACATCCAGATGGAGAACCCCGTGGGGGGCAACAGCATCTTCCTCGTCTCCCCGCTCATCATCTACCACGTGATAGACAAGAACAGCCCCCTCTACGACATCTCCCCCTCGAACCTTCACCACCACGAGGACCTTGAGATCATCGTCATCTTGGAAGGGGTGGTGGAGACGACCGGCATCACCACGCAAGCGAGAACCTCGTACCTGGCGGATGAAATCCTCTGGGGCCAGAGGTTTGTGCCCATCGTGGCCGAGGAAGATGGGCAATACTCTGTGGACTACTCTAAATTTGGTAACACGGTGAAAGTGCCCACCCCTTCGTGCACTGCCAGGCAGCTGGAGGAGGACAAGAGCATTATGGACACAGTGCCATTTTCCCCTAGAAGTACCATAAGGAAGAGATCTATCAAGCTAAAGCCCAAGTTCACCATATCTGACGAGCCTTCCTGATGCCTTTGGACTGGGAAACTGTGCTAGGGCTTTGCGTCTGACAGATCTCATGAACTCAAAACACTGAGGTGGCCTCTATTACTTTTTTAAAAAATTCAGGTCGGTAGCACAAGGTATGTTCTGCTGTTATTTATTGCGGGGTAAATGTAAAGCTAATTATATTTTTTTAAAGGTGCGAAATTTCAGGCAGCACTGGGAGTAGGAAAATCCCGATCTGCAGCTTTAAATTTTGGTTCCGACTGTCATGCTGAGTTGCACGATCATTCTGCATTGATTAATCTCTAGGTAACTACGTATTTTCTCAAAAAACAAATGTTTCTATATCCTCAGAGATTGCAGTTCTGGGGGTCTTGCAGTGTCTGTCTTAAAGTCGGTAGTTTTTAACTGCTCTTTTCTAACTTGAACAATCAATATCGAGAAATAAAGTATTAATAATTAACGAAGCAGGCTGAATTTAAACAGTAACAAGAAGGTCAGGCAGTGTAGTGCAACACAAGAGCAGATCTGGGACTGTCTGTGCTATTATACTCAATGTCTTAAATAAATGGCTGGGTTTGCTGCATCCATATTGTATTGTATGGAGCCACTCCTACCACATGCAGTACGAAATGTATTTGGACATTTCCTTTTGTTTATTTTAAAACCCTTTACACTTTCAAAATAAAACAGTCAAGTGTACCTTTTGGGCTGTGTGTTCTTGATAGTAAGCATCGCTTTCCCCTAAAAAGAACAGCAGAAATCGTGCAACTGAGGCTAATCATAAATAGGAAACATTCTGTATTCTAATTGTCTAAATGAGAAGCAACATCCCCCTCTCACATGGCAGTAGGGACACCCAGTAGGAAATGAATCTCTGCTTTAGGTTGGAGTGAACTCTGCTAGAGAATGAGGGACTATAAATAGAATCCGGTATTTTGAATGGGAGGGCAGTGCTGAATCCTGGAATGTATCTGCATGCGGCAGACAAAAGCTTTTACTCCTCTCCCTTTTGTAAAAGCAGAAGCAGAGGTTTGTGCAGCAGGAAGGAGGGCTGTGCAGGACAGCATGGTCTCTCTTGGGATGCCGGTCACAAATACTACTGCTGAGGAAATGGTTTCCTTTCCATTCACATCCCGATCTCTGCACAGCCGGTGCCGGTTTAGCTGAACTCAAGAGCAGAGGAGCCATGTTCACCCTGCCAGCCCCGCCGGTGACAGCAGGAGTGGTTCCTCTCTGCACGCTCCTCTGTGTGGGGATGGCAGCACCAGCAGCAGCTTTATTCCTGCGCTATTAGGGGGTAGCGGTAGCATTGACTGCAGTATGCTATTAACAGGACAAACTGCCACTCAATTAAAGAATACAACGTTCTGTAAACAAAGCCTAAATAAGCTTTATGGAACTGACCTGATGTCTGACTACAGTTGTTTTCACAGAGATGGCAGGAAATCCCCTCTGAAGGGCATTGATTGAAGGAGTTCCCTGATCAGATCCGTGTGTGCTCGGTGATCCGTCTGAGCGATAACACGGCCGCATTTTTGACAGCTGGTCAGTGTAACAATGGGACTGATGTTCCAGAGTCACAGAACTTCCCTTCTGACTATAGAACACCTTCAGGAATCTAATAAAATGAAATTGTGGTCAGGTAGAATCACAGTTTGATTTAAAATGATAAAATTGTATCTATATTTTTAACACTTTTCTATTTCAGATCCACGAATGTCAGTGTCAGTGTTATCAGACTGCAGTTAGGTGAATAAGTATCCATTCGATTTCCAAATGCCCCATACACCAGCACTGTTCTGTTTCACAATGAAAAAGCAGTGAAACTAGCATTAGCAAGTAGTTAGTAAAGAAAACAGGAAAAGGCATATTTTACATTTGTAATAGTAAAAAAAAGAAGCCTTTTTTTTTATCAAATAGGGAACGGTGCAGTGCCTTTGTGTATTACATTTATTCTCTGAGTCCAGTTGACACATTATGTTCCAGCTTTCCCTCTTTCTGCACCAGTTCCATCACTCATCGAGAGGCACTGGCAGCAAAGCCAGTTGCTTTTCCTCAACACCTTTGTTCCTTTGAAAGTTCATTGTTCTTTATCCCTGTTCTGTTTTTACAATGCTCACAGGTACAATTCTAGCATTAGCTTTCCATGGACTTAAACCATCGGATTCTCCTCCGTTTCCAGAGTGCCTTGCATTAACATGTAAGATGCATTCAATGTTGTCACATTAAACCTCTTCAGATGGAGAAGTATTTGACCTAAATGTGAAGCAATTTCAGCAACTATTTTCAGGCCCTGATGCAAGCCTCCTTTTCCCTCAGGGAGATCTGTGCTACAGAGAGGTAGAAAGTTCTCTTTGTGAGATGGGGAGGGGATGGGTAGAAGGAAAGAGCTTGCCTCTGTTGGGCTGCTTTCAGAACCAGCTCTTATGTCACTCCCTTTACAAGAAGCTGCTCAATTTTCTGAAGTTTGGACAAAAAAGGCACAATCATATTAAGAGGAAGGCAGGATTTGTTCTATTAAAATCATTAGCTAATTATTTCAGTCCATTTGTTGGTGACTTTGAATCTCAGAAATCTTGTAATTTTAAATTATTCTTTCCTCACTTTCAACATTCAGCAGTATTTCAGGGGCAGAGCAAGGAAGAAAAAAGGGCACTGCTTATTTTGGAGGGCTCTTCCATTTTGCCACGTACTAAGTACTTGAGAACAGAAATTTCAGAGGATTTTCATGAAGTTGCACTTATGCTGACCACCCACATCCTCTGTATGATGCATTCTGAAGAACACATCAGTGCTGTCTTTTGAGGTAGAAAAGTCCTCATTCTCAGCAACGAGCAAAGCTGCATTTTCTGTAGCTGAGGTTCAACGTGAGCAAGCTTTTGAACTTGCTACTCTTTTTCTGATAGGTGGCATCCTGGGGTCCTGCTGAGGGAGCAGTTTGGGGCGGTGTGCCGCAGTTCCTACTGCTGCTCCCTCCACACTTCCTCTGCACAGAAACCTGTGGGAGGGAAGCTGCGGATGATGTGCTTGGGGGTTGCCCTGACTGGGAGAGAACATGGACAGAGACAATGGGAAGCTTTGAGTTTTGTAGTGACCCACTGCTCGATTTCTTAAGGGTGTGGTGAAGCCAGCTGTGTCCATGCAAATTGCTTTTCATGTGCTATGGAATCTAGAGACCATTACCAGCTTATACACATGGTTCACACTGTTTAATGCACTTAGTTTAGAGGTCGATGAGAGGGACAAAAGAATCGTGGGGTTTATTAATAAGAAACAGAAGCTGAAGAACATTTGTTTGTCATCGTTCTAAAATACTTGCAGTGACAGCATAGCCATGGGGCATATCTGTTTTATGTTGCATTTCCTAATGAAATCAAGAGGCAGACGTGTAAGAAATCAGAGGACAACAAGGTTTGATTTGGTCTCTTTATCCCCCTAGGCATACGATAAATACAGTATTATGGCAGTGCACTTCAGCAGGAAAACCTCCCTGTGAAGCAGATAAAAAACCAGAGGTGAGCTCAGCAAGCTGGGTATTATGGCAAAGGAGGGTCAGAGACACAGATTTTAAATCCACCAGTGACGTGGTGGGAAGATGTCAAGAAGCAGTAAACTGTTTTCATTTGAAGTGATTCACACCAGCAAAGGTGTGAAGATGCTGAAATGAGAGAACAGAGACGTTAAAGTAGATGTGAGAGCTTCACATAAAAGTGTTTAACTAGACCAGTGCTTACATATTAGGATAGATTAGCAGAAGGGTCAGTGTCAAAATTCAGTCTGCCCTGAGAGGTGAGTGGAGGCCAGCCATGATCCTCATTGCTCAATCTGGACAGTGGGTAAATACTGCTGTGTGCTGGGCAAGTTACCAGTCACAAGAGAGCCCTTCTGGAGGCAGCATTTGTGGTGACTGATTCTTGTGGCTAGTTACTTATTAATAGTTAATAATATCAAACTAATGAAAAATTAATAGTCCTCTGAAAGCTGAATTGGTTTCCTCGTGTTTTCCTTCCTCTTCCACTCTTTCTTTGTATGTCAGTCGCCCCTACTAGATAATTATTGCAGGCCAGATGGCACAGCTTACTTTCAGTGTGGGATAAGGAAAAAGTGCTTAGAGAAATAAAATATAAAAATAAAGTTGATATTAGAGAACAATCTGTGAAACTGCCAAGCTTGCAACTGTCACAGTTATTTCTTGTACAAAGCATGGAAGAAAATTCACCAAAGATTATTTCCTGTTCATTTTACAGGTTGCTGCAGAAGGAAAAGTGGTTTAGTTCTTCAGGTATTGGTTGAGGGAGAAGAGAAGAAATGCTGCATTTTAGGTTTAATGGTTATTATTGACACACCTTTCTCTCTTCCTGTACTCAAAGTCATATAGGTGTTGCCACTAAAAATGGAAAGGATCAGTGTTCTTTGTAGTTCATGTTCCTGCATTGCCCTGCATTCATCAAATGGCAGATGCTCCATCCCAAGATGGATACCTTGAACACAACAGCTCTGACCCAGAAGGCAGTAAAAGAATTCCCACCTATTTGAATGCATTTTTGTATCAAAGGATCTGCTGAAAGCCTGTGCTGCAGCATTAAGATGGATTCAATCAGCACTACCGATGTCACTCAAGAAAAGCTGCTGTTCGAGGTGGGAAGACCCTTACGGGAAGGAGGCCGTGGGGAATCCAGACCTGGGGCGCGTGCTCAGTGTGGCTGGTGACTGCCTAGCTGCCTGTAACACATGACTCAGCGTACTATTTTTGATTCAGCAACAGGAGAAAGATATGTGATACAAACCTCCACCTCCCCCTCTCCCCCACCCAAGTAGAACTATTAAAAGTGCAGAAGACATTCTTGAGAGGCTGTAGATACCACTGCCTCAGTCTTGCTTGTAGCACTGCTAGGTGCCCATGGAAGACAGCACGGCACACTGCCTGTTTTTTTTGCTTACACTGCTATTTTGATGCATAATGCAACTTTAAAGAGTCATCACAGGAAAATGACTCATTTAAAAAAAAATTCTTCAAAAGAATATTAAAACTGTGCAGCTCCTCTTTGCCACTTGCCGCTTTCTGCTTTTGTACCTGGCTTACAGAGTTCAAATGCAGAAGGCATATCCACAGGTGGCTACCTCAAGCTGAGCAGCTTTAAGTCAGCAATCCTATGTGAATTGGTGTAGAGTCAGAGGTGTTATGGTGGTGGCCTCGTAGAGGGATGCCCCCTCTTTGCTGGAGCTTGCCCTGGCTGGAGGCATTGAGTATCCTGACTCATCCCAATGCCACACAGCGGTGGCCGTGAAGTCACCCTTTTCCTTCCCTGGATATTCTTTGTATGTCTGCCATTTAAGTGGCATTTGTTTCCTCTATCCAGGACATGGTAGACAAAATGTGTAAACAGCGTTTTTATTACTGTTAGTTATGATAGTTATCCCTGAGCAGAGCTGAGGCACAGAGAAATATCACTGCATATCAGGGGTGGCAGTAGAAGTCCTTATCTTCAACAAGTCTCAAATCAGGCCCCCATTTTAAATCCTAGGCCTTTAAATCCAAGAGTTTGCCAGGTTTGTTAGCACCGGGATTTTTCTCTTGGGGTTGACTCCTATTAAGTTGATGGGAGTGGGCAGCTGACCCAAATAGTTTCTGATGGTGCTTTTATCAAAACATGCTGTTCCCTGTACTTTATGTTGAAAGTCTTTTTCTTCTCTAGCAGCCTATAGGAGATTTTTGCTCTGTCTTGTAAGTAAAAGTCTTAACTTTTTTTCTCTGACATGGGGGATGTATAACCAAGATGTTATAATTGCAATATAATCAAAAGAGTAAGGCAAAGCTGTATAACCAAGATGTTATAATTGCAATATAATCAAAAGAGTAAGGCAAACAAGGATCACAAAAGAGAATAAGTAGAAGAGCTTACCCTTGGGTTGAGCTCACTAGAAGATATCAAAGAGGAGGATCTCCAGAAGAGATCCTTCCCCTCTGGTAGCCAGCTCTTAAATAGGTCCAGGAGGGGTGGAGCCTGGCTCCACCCCTTCCGGTAGCACAGGTGAATTGCCTTCACCTGTGCTCCTCTGGCTGACTCATGGCTCACCTCAGGTGATCAATCAGAGGTTCAGGCCGTGACTCAGCAGTTCCCATACAGGGGATTATGTCTATTGTGTGTTTTGTATATGCCTATTGATTGAGGAACTTGAATTGCTTGAACGTTCACAACTTGGTTTGAGATCTGTTGTTTGAGCTCTTGCTGTCTCCCAGGCAGTGTACCAGTATTCTCAATGTCTTGCCTATTCCCCAGATGCAATTTTCAATTGTTGGTAGCTCCATTCTGGCTTTAAACTTGAGGGAAGACTCCTGGTAAAATAACATGTGTTTCAGAGGGCTGGGGGAAACAAGGACTGGGGAAATGAGTAGGAAGATTAGTATGTTTCTCAGACAAATGTATGGGTTTTATAAGAGCAAGATGTGCCTAAGAACAGCTTCCTTAGAGAACATCACAGTAAATTTAGATCTTGAAGAAGCTAAGGAAATAAAGAAGTTGCCTTCTCTAGCCAGTTCTAACGATGATTTTGTAATGATGGCAAGCACTCTGTAGGCATGCTGATTGCTGAGTGCATAATGGTGATTTGATTTGAAGGGCCTAATGGTTGGCTTTACCAAGGATTAGTGAATGTATATATATATATATATAATATATATATGAACATATACATATATAATATATATATGATATATATATATATTATATATATAATATATATGAACAATACATATATAATATATATATGAAGATAGCTCATGCTTGTTGAGCATTCATCTAGAACAACAGGCAGTAAGCAGATATTTTTCGAAAGACAGAAATGTCTGTAAGAAGTAGTCGCTATCTTTTCACAGATTCTCATCTATTGGACGTTGTCTGGACATCCTAAGTTGAAATAGTTAGACTCAGCATCTGTGTGTAATGCATTCTTAAATGAATTATTTATATGGCTCTACAAACTTTTGTAAATATGATCATTCAGTTTGTAATATTGTTGTTTTTTATTCCTGCTAAGTTGTTATTCCTGTGCTTGATTTTTCTGTTTATTTGGTTCACTGCTGTATAGAGTCTAAAAAGCTTTTGTTGTGTTCTTGGACAGCATCTGTTTAAGGAAAAATGAAAAATAACTGTTTTGTAATTGGCCTGTGATTTGCAGTCAGAATTCTTACAATCTCACCATTACAAGTATTTTCTGTAGTATTAGTTCTTTCTACAGTTGTGTGCATCTGCCTTCACTGAAGAGAGCCTGATTCCTTTATTAAGTGGAGATCAGTGAAGTTTTAAAACATAGGTTTCATCAAAAGTTTGTTCTTTAGTAGTAACATTACATGTGATCCTATATTTTTTGCCTCACTTTTCTGTAGTTACTTAGGAATTGATTACAAGGATGGTCTGGTTTCTGTTCCTACTTCTTTGTATGTTGGAAAATATTTTCTAAGGAGTAGCTTCTTGTTGACTAGAAGAACCAGAATTACTTTTTTTTTTTTTTTAAAGAGAATTTTTAAATAAATAAATGCTATCCTGCTTTAAAACAAGTAATTTCCACAGGGTTCTGTGTGGCTCTAATTTGCAGCCAGAGATAGCTTATTAGCAGCTTGTTAAGAACCTGCTAGGTTCTCCTAGTGAATAGGAAGAATTACAATGATTTAAAATAGCAATTACGTTTTACTGACTTGTCACAAAGGGAATGAATGTACCTATACACAGATCCATAGTACTGCCAAATTAACATCAGTCCAACGATACGTAACGGTATGTTCTCACTCCCCTATATTTAGTGGTTGCTGGTTTTCACATCAATTCACAGAAAAACTGCTCCAAAATATTCTAAATTCAGCAGATGCCTTTTTTCTGACTCTAAAAAACGTGGAAGCAGTTCAGAGAATGTCTGATTAAAATCTGCTGGAACATACATTTAAATTCATTTTCAGAAAGCGTTTAAATAAAGCTACCGCTGATCAGCATCGGTTGACAGGTTTGATTTGATCCTTCAGGAGTTATAGGGAAAAGTAATGTTTGCGTTTCAAGTGTAAGGAGTGCTATTCAGTGCATAACTGTGGGATGGAAAGTTCAGTGATTTCCACATTCCTATGACATATAGAAATACATAAAAAGGTAACTGCTTTTAGTTAAGGCTCCAATATCTATAATAACTCTGAAGAATGTCTCATCCTCTCATCCAACTGCTCTAAAATAAATCTAAGTACTTGCTAAATACAAGTCAGATTTAAACTAATACATTTTTATATAATAAATAATAAAACATTTTACCTGCAAATTTGAGTTGAAAAGCTTTTTTCACACATTGGTGTGCTGCTGGATTAATATCCTCTGATCCTAGCATATGCAAACTTCAAAACTGTCTTACTACGTGTACTTTGTATAAGAATTTCATCTCTGAGACAACAGGGGACTGCTGAAGAAAGAGAAAAGGCTCCATTAGAAAGCTGCTGAAATAAGATACTCCTGAGACATTAAGCTAAGAGTGTTTGTTAGGATTCACCTGCTAGTCTTGGAGTCCTCAATAACCTTTCTCAATAAGGTCCTGAACATGCATGCATGGTCATTACTGCATGTAGTAAGAATAGAGAAATTTTGCTCTTTGTTAAAGAATGGTTGTTTCTTCTATGTATGTATGTATGTATGTATTTATCCCTCCATCATCTCAGCAGCAGGAATAAGACTGAAGGTAGGAATTATGTATCAACATAAGCACTTACCTTGAGCAGGCTATTTCCAGCCCGCTCATCGTCACTTCTACCAATCAAAATATCCTGTTACTTCGCTAAAAATAAGAGTGAAGAGAAAGCACTGTAGTTTGACACTAAGCTAGTTAAGAAGCTTTACCACTGTACCCTTGTCCTGAGTTTGTTTCTTAAGTACAAAATCTAAAATCAATATCATTTTCTCAATACTAGAATACTACAGTATGAAATCAGATCTTGAGAGGGGAAAGTGAAATTGCTTCTGTCAATGGGGAATGCCTCAGAAAGCAAACTAGTGCTAGAGTGGCTGAATTAAAGATAACAGTGTCAATTTGGAGCTCTTTAACGTTTAACCAACAATTTTACACAAATTCTGTAGTAGGGAGTAAAACATTTTTCTCTCATTTGAAATAAAACTATTCCGGTAAATCCATTTCAACTTCTGTTTATACTGGTTGTTGGAACTTCTGCAAAGAGTCTCAGTGGCAAAATGACATGCCAAGAGAATAAATCAGCTTGAGCACACTGTGGACTAATTCAATAGCAAACTGGGGCTCAATCGTGCTTGCTCAGCGACTACGAGTTACACCTTCCTGTCCCAAATGGTTCTGTGCATCTGAAAAAAAATAATTTCCCTTCAAGTTAAATTCAATAGTATCCTATAATTGCTTTGCAGGGAAAGGACCTAAAAATGTACTATACATTTCTGAAGTCTTAAAAACATAGATTTTTGTGATGAGTTTTCCCAGGGCTTTCTGCGTTACTTTGGAAGCAAATTCTTTTTTGTCAATCATGAAAGCTGTAGGAATTATCTGAAGCACGGCTTTTATGTGGAAACAATCATTTCAGTTGCCCAGAAACTCCTGGCTGACATTATCCTTGACAGTGTCTTTCTTCAGAAACCGGGTTTGAATCACTTCAGAGATAGGCATGTTCTGTACTCTGGCTCACAGACCAGAACGGTATCTGTGGCTTTTAGTAAACTTGTGTAAACAAAAGGCCCAGATGATATAGTATTTTCTAATGCCAGATAAGCAGATAAGAATGTGAAAAGGAGGTCAAAGAAACTCAATTATATAGAGCTCTTCACAGCCTTGGTGTTCATATATTTGGGTATTTATACAGGAAGCATTTATACAGTCTTGCTCAGTCTTACTCAGAAATGCAATAAGCATGAGGCATGATGTTCTTTTGGCAGCCTAAACACAACATACTTCTAGTTCTTTATATAAGAAAATGAACACATAATAGAGCAATAATTGTTCAGGTGCAGGGCTTCTGTAACAAAATACGTAACTATATGCTACATTTTCCTTGGAAATTAATCTGACTCATGAAGTTTCTTTACTAATGCTTCTCACAGTCCACAGAACAGCACAATTTAAAAGGTGGTGAGTTATGAAGTATAAGCACTTTTCCTGCTGCAGAAGAAACAATCTACTTAGTTTCTGGTAAAGCAGCAGTGTCATACTACTCAAAAATAGCTTCGCATGTGTTTAAAAATATACTTCAAAAACTCAAATAATTATGCATTTAATTATTTATTTATGTTTTTGGAAGCATTTCTTAAAAACTCTAAAACCTTTCAAGTCTGCTCAAGGAACGTGGTTCCCAGATTTCTAGATTTAGGAATACAGATTAAGGTAGTTTGTGAGAAAGCCTGTGAAATATTACGAGGAGGAGCACTTTCTGATCCACTTCAGCATCATCCTCATGCATCTGTGGATGTGAAGCTGACTGTCCGCAGCATAGCTGTTTTCTGCAAAAAGGTGCCTTACTGAAGGATGCAGTGGCCACATGCCCTGAAAACAGGGTGGCTTATGAGCAGAGGAAGCAGACTTGCATGTTGAGCCAAAACAAGTAGAACCTTCCTGAAAGTTCTCTATTTGCTATGATTTTTTTCTTACATCTACCATCTTAAAATAAATAAAGTAACACAAAACACAGAACCCACCCAACAAGACCTGAATGTTCTCTGTCTGCCTGGAAAATAATTCTTTGAAGAAAGATATCCAGGCCAACATGTGACAACACTTAAATCATTCAGCTTCCTAACAGATGTGTTGGGTGTACAACCTGAAG